GAAGGTGGCTCAGTGGTAGAGCGCTTGCCTTGCATGCCTGAGGCCCTGGGTTCGATTCCTCAGCACCACATAAGCAAAAAGAAAAAAGCTGGAAGTGGTGCTGTGGCTCAAGTGGTAGAGCGCTAGCCTTGAGCTGAAGAGCTGAGGGATATCGCCCAGGCCCAGAGTTCAAGCCCCACAACTGGACCCCCCCCCAAAAAAAAAAGTTCAGCTAGAGGCTGGGAAGGTAGAGTGGTAGAGTGCTTGCCTTGCATGCATGAGGCCCTGGGTTCGATTCCTCAGCACCACATAAGCAAAAAGAAAAAAGCCGGAAGTGGCACTGTGGCTCAAGTGGTAGAGTGCTAGCCTTGAGCTGAAGAGCTGAGGGACAGCGCCCAGGCCCAGAGTTACCAGACCCCCCCCCCAAAAAAAGAGTCTCATAGACTTTCCTGCCCTGGCTGGCTTTGAACCATGATCCTTAGATCTCAGCCTCTTGAGTAGCTAGGATTACAGGCGTGAGCCCCTGGTGCCCAGCTAAGATCTTGTCTCTTGAAAAAGATGTTTTTAATATATTGAATTAAAAAAGTGAATTGCACCCTTCTCTGCATTTCAATTTTTTTCCTCATTATTCTTAGAACTAAAAACAACACAACTGTTCATCCTGAAATCAATATAAACACCATGCTTGGACACCAGTTGCTCATGCCTTCCTACCTACTTGGGAAGCTCAGAATGCAAAAATCACAGTCTGAAGCCAACCCAGTCAGAAATATTTGTGAGACCTCAGTTCAATGGGGACATGCCCACCATCTTAAGCAACATGAAAGGCTGAGATTGAGACCAATGCGGTTTGAGACAAGCCTGGGCAGATAAATCTACCATACTTAGTCTCAATGGAGGGAAGCTGGATGAGGTGGTAAGTATCTGTCAACTCAGCCTAAAATTGGTGGTGGAGTCCAGGCACAGACTGGACAGGAAGTAAGGCCATATCTCAGAAAGAAGCATCAAAAAAATGTTAAGTCATGGCTCAGCAGTAGCTTTCCTAGCTAGTTTGAGGCACAAGTTCAACCCCAGTACTAGAGGGGAAAAAATGAAGGCCAATCTAAATGCTAGAGGGAGCAATATAGTGAGAGATCAAGGAGAAAGTGGACATCAATGGGCATCAAAGAGAGAAGAAGAAGAGGAGGAGGAGGAAATTTATTCAACATCTTTCTTCATGAAGAAACTCTAAAAACAAAGTGTACTACACCTCAATACAATAACAACACAATAAAGGCTATGACAATGGCAGCACCATACTGAATGAGAGGAAAGCTGACATAATTTTCTCTTGAATCAAAAATAAGACAAACACGTCTACTTCCACTACCTTGTTCAACATCATATTGGAAGTCTTAGCCAGAGCAATAAAGATTTTTGGGTTTTTTTTTTTTTGATTGGTTGGTTGTGGGGCCTGAACTTTGGACCTGGGCGCTGTCCCTGCACTCTTTAGCTCAAGGCAAGTGCTCTGCCGCTTGAGCCACAGCGCCACTCAGAGCAATAAGTAAAAGACATCTAAAAAGGGAGAGGAGTTCAAGTTATCCCTGTTTTGAAAGAGTATGAAGCACGACTAAAGCATAGTATGCATATATACATATATGTGCATATATATATGTATGTATATGTGTGTGTATATTAGGTGTTTTACATGTATATGCATTATATATATGTGTGTGTGTGTGTGTGTGTGTGTGTGTGTGTGTGTGTGTATCTGTGTGTATATATATATACTACAAAAAACTTAAATTCAACTGACTTCTAGGATACAAAATCAACATACAAGCCAGGTGCTAATGTCTCACACCTATAGTCCTAGCTGCTAAAGAGGCTAAAATCTAAGGATCTTGGTTCTAAACCAGCCCAGACAGGAAAGTCCATGAGACACATCTCCAATAAACTCAGAAAAATCCAGAAGTAGAGCTGCAGGTCAAGTGATAGAACACTAGCCTTGAGTGAAAGAAACT